AATTCTCCTTCCCTTTTCATATTATCAATAACTCATTGATAACTGTTCTTTCTTTTGCATCGATACAATTAACAACTTATTTCACACAACATGAGAGAAAATAACATGTTCTTCTGTAAGACAAACAGTGTCTCAACCACGACTCAGCTTCTCATTAGCTTTGAGATTGGTTGCACTACTTAACTTCTCTAAGCCTCTGTTTTCTCGGCTGTTTTAAAATGGGGATCATTCTACTTGTTCTCCATAAGTCATTGTTGAAATTGCATGAGAAAAAATTTTACCTAATAAAATCAAATAATCATTTTTTATACCTTGCAATCATTTCCCCTTTTTATTATTTTTATTTTTTATCGAAACATTAATTATACATACTTGTGGGGTACAGAGTTGAATATAAACACACATGTACAATGTAAGATGATCCAATCAAGATAACTATCATATTCATCATTATAAAACATAATCATTCTTTGTGTCCATTAACTAATTTCTCACTCATCTCCTCCCCTTCCTTCTTTCCCACTGCTAGTAACAATAGTTCTACTCTCTCCTGAAAGTTTAGTGTGTTATTGTGATTGTGATTGTTCTCTTTCTTTCTTTTTCTTTCTTTCTTTCTTTTCTTCTTTCTTTCTTTTTCTTTCATTTATCTCTCTCTCTCTCTCTCTCTCTCTCTCTCTCTCTCTCTCTCTTNCATTTTATAAAATCTGGATTACTGTCCCTCTGTAGGGAACACAGCAGTTCAGGAACTGTAGAATCTATAAGCTCCCCTGCCTTAAGTATTCACATTTGTTTTTGTTTTTTTTAAAAGTAAAACAACTCTTACTTATTAGTGGTTTAATCAATGGCTTTCATTAATTGCATAGTGAGTTAGGACACAATGTTACTTGTTCTGAACTTCCAAAAATATATCTACCATCTGAATACTGACATGATGACTCCTATTTTGGCTCTGAGAGTTGTTTACATAATAATAAAAAAATGAATGCTGCTTTATCTTTCTTTAACAGCTTCTATTAATTGTATTATTTTATTTCCAAAGGCTGAAATGTGCTCTGGTTCATTTTTGAGTCAGTCCTTCAGAGAAGAAAGATCAGGACAATGAATGGCCTCGAAGGCAAGGGTACTTATAAATTCATTTCAGTTTTCAAATTTCTCTCTAACCTCATGATATGATTTAGCTGCATTCTCATTTTTTGCTGTTATTTTCATACAGACACTGGGGTTAAGACTTTGCCTACAAAACAGCTCAAAATGCTTCCAGGCCATGGAGTGGGATTTCAAAACTAATTTATTTGTTCTCTTAGAAATAAGGCAAATTTTTATATAAAGAAACATACATGTAAATATGTAAATTTTTATATAAAGGAAACCTAGGTAATTTTTTTTTTCCTTTGGTCGTTAGGAGAGAAAAGTCATCTTGGAGGCATCCTGGGAAACACTCTGTCTCCCACCCAATTCCATTCGTCCTTCCAGCGTTCCTTCCTGGTACTGATGCTGAAAAAAGCTGCTCTTGGTCTTTCAGGCAAAGATAAGATCTGCACTCATTGCTTGAGGCCTTGGCCACAGCCAGCAAGTCTGGTGCCATTGTTCCACGTCCTAAGCAGGATGTGACTTTTTCTCTCTCCACATTCAATCAGTCCCCAAATTCTCCTTCCCTTTTCATATTATCAATAACTCATTGATAACTGTTCTTTCTTTTGCATC